AGAGCGCTTGCCTTGCATGCATGAGGCCCTGGGTTCGATTCCTCAGCACCACATAAGCAAAAAGAAAAAAACCAGAAGTGGTGCTATGGCTGAAGTGGTAGAGCGCTAGCCTTGAGCTGAAGAGCTGAGGGACAGCATCCAGGTCTAGAGTTCAGGCCCCTTGACTGGACCCAAAAATAAATAAATAAAAAAACAAATTGGCTTGGCGGTTTGTTGCTGACCCTGGAATTTGTATCTTTCACTGAATTTTATCTTCTCCTCATCCATTTATGTTATTATTACTCACTCTTGACTACTTATCTTCATGGAACATTTCAAAATCCTTCAACTTTATTCTCCTTCAGTATTATCTAACCTACGTCTGCATGCATTCCCAGATAAAGTTTAAACTGAATTTGCCAGTATCTTAAAAATAAATTCTGGGGTGGGGGGGAGGAGGACTGAGTGGGGGTGGGGGTAGGGGGGGAGGATGGGAAGGGATGTGAAGGGTAAACAAAGGAGGAGGCTGCAATGCTTGATAAGAAATGAACTCATTATCTTGCCCATGTCATTGTAACCCCTCTGTACAGTATTTTCACAATAAAAAAAAGAATATCCAGAAAACCATCAGAAAAAATATGATAAAATGAGATTAAGGAGAAAATAAATTGATTTCTAAGAGAATTATTTTCCTATGTCTTTTGAAGCCTAGGTCTAAAATTATTTTCCAAAGCACAGCTAAAATGATGCTTTAAATAAAAATGTTGCAGTAGCAAAAAAAAAAAAAAATTCTGGGGCCTGGGAATGTGGCTTAGTGGTAGAGTACTTGCCTAGCTTCCAAGAAGCCCTGGGTTCAATTCTTCAGTACCACATAAACAGAAAAAATCCAGAAGTGGCACTGTGGCTCAAGTGGTAGAGTGCTAGCTTTGAGCAAAAGAAGCTTTGGGACAGTGCCCAGGCCCTGAGTTCAAGCTCTAGGACTGGCCAAAAAACAAAAAGTTCTCCTGGGATTTTGCTTGGTATTGCACTAAAATTGATATATTTTCCTTTTACTTAAGTTTTCTTTGATTTTTTTCCCAGCAGTGTTTAATAATTTTAGATATTTTCCACATATTTTATTAAATTTATTTCTAATATCCTTTTAATGTCTGATATTACTTTAAATGGAATTGAAAATTTGTTTTCCAGTTGTTTGCTACTACTATATAGAAATTGATAGTATTCCATGACTTTTGTTTGTTTTGGTTGGTTGTGGGGCTCGAACTTGGCTTGGGCGCTGTCCCTGTGCTCTTCAGCTCAAGGCGAGCGCCCTACTGCTTGAGCCACAGCGTCACTTCCAGTTTTCCAGTGGTTTATTGGAGATAAGAGTCTCACTGACTTTTCTGCCTGGGCTGGCTTTGAACCATGATCCTCAGACCTCAGCCTCCTGAGTAGCTAGGATTACAGGCGTTGGGTGTGAGCCACTGGTGCCAAGCTTTTTAAAAAATTTTTTAGCTGGTCCTGGGGCTGAACTCAGGACCTGGGCGCTGTCCCTGAGCCTCTTTGTACTCAAGAGTTCTAACTCTAACCACTTGAGCTACAGTGCCACTTCTGGCTTTTACTAAGTAGCTTATTGGAGATAAGTCACACAGACTTTTCTGCCCTAGCTTCAAACTGTGATCCTCAGTTCTCAGCCTTCTGAGTAGCGCGGATTGTAGGCATAAGCCACCAGTGCCTGGCTATTCCATGACCTTTCTAAATTAGTAAGTTTAGTATTTTTTTCTTTCCTTTTTTATTTTTTAAACTGGAGTCTCATTTCAGTTCCTCATACTTCCTAGGCAGAAACTCTACCACTTGAGTCATGTTGAGGCCTTTTTTGTTTTAGTTATTTCTCAGGTGGGGTTTCATATTTTTTTCCTGGGTCTGGCCTCAGCCATTGAGCATCCTACTGTGGCTTCCTGTATAATATAATATAATATAATAATATATAATATAATATAATAATCTATAATATAGATATGCCTGGCTTATTGATTAAAATGGGAGTCTTACTAACTCTTCAGTCTTGGCTGCCCTCTAACCATGATCCCCCTGATTTCTGCCACTTTTTAGGATTACAGACACAAGCCATCACATTCTGACAAGTGATTGTTTTTTAAAAATTGCCTAGGGCTGGGAAGGTGGCTCAGTGGTAGAGCTCTTGCCTTGCATGCATGAAGCCCTGGGTTCCATTCCTCAGCACCACATAAGCAAAAAAAAAAAAAAAAGCCGGAAGTGGCGCTGTGGCTCAAGTGGTAGAGCGCTAGCCTTGAGCTGAAGAGCTGAGGGACAGCACCCAGGCCCAGAATTCAGGCCCATGATCGGACCCCCCAAAAAACCCCAAAACAAAACAAAATAAAAATTGCCTAAACAAGCCAGGTACCAGTGACTCATGCCTGTAATCCTAGCTACTTAGGGGGCTGAGATCTGAAGATCACAGTTCAAAGCCAGCTGGGGCAGGAAAGTCCAGGAGACTTTTTTTTTTTGTCGGTCGTGGGGCTTGAACTCTAGGCCTGGGCGCTGTCCCTCAGTTCTTCAGCTCAAGGCGAGCGCTTTACCACTTGAGCTACAGCGCCACTTCCGGTTTTCTGGTGGTTTATTGGAGATAGGAGTCTCACGGTCTTTCC